CAGAGTTTCATCCATTCAAGAGCTAAATCCAACCGCTAAATGGCTCTACGTCCCTGGAAAACAAAATCCAGCGGATTGTGCCTCTCGTGGCCTTACTCCAACCCAACTAACTGACTCCAAGCTCTGGTAGAAAGGACCTGAGTGGCTTAAAGGCTCATTTTCTTCTTGGCCAGCTCAACAGTTCAAACCTTCAGTTCTTGCTCATAAAAAAGAAAGATCAGGCGTCTTATTGCACGCAGCTAAAGCTCCATCTGAAGAAGATGGGATACCATTGTGGTACCTTCTATCAAGATATTCATCGCTCTACAAGCTCTCACGCATCACTGCTCTTTGTATACGCTTCGTCGCTTTGCTCAGAGGAAAAACCACTAGCTCGTTAGCTCACAATCCTATAGCTCCACAAGAATAGCTCGATGCTCAGCTCATCTGGGTGAAGATCATCTAAAGACTTCACTTTACATTTGAATTAAGAGCTCTGCCAGATGGTCTTCAATTACCATCATCGCACTTTGTCTCTAAGCTCGCAGCTTTCGCTGATCAAGAAGGAATACTTCGTGTTGGTGGTCGCCTAACAAACTCTGAGCTCGAAGAAGATGAAATTCATCCGATAATACCCCCTGGAAAATCCTACTTTTTACATCTCGTTATTGATCAAGCTCATCGACGAACGCTCTATGGAGGGACTCAAGTTCCTCTCATTCATGTTCGAGGAAAGTTTTGGATCCTAGGAGGAAGAGCTCCTATTCGCTCATTTATCCTGAAATGCATGATATGTGCTCAATATCGTGCTCGAGGTGCTCAACAGCTCATGGGCCAGCTCCCAGCTGATCGTGTAGTACCGGTTCGACCATTTCACACTACTGGAGTAGATTTCGCTGGTCCCTTCATGCTCAAGACGTTCCAGGGAAGAGGCGCAAAAACATGTAAAGGCTGGATAGCTGTTTTTGTCTGCTTCGTGACCTCAGCTGTTCACTTGGAGCTGGTGTCAGACTACTCCACAGAAACCTTCATAAAAGCCTACCGATGCCTTGTCAGTCGTCGAGAGCCAAGCTTCGTGCTCTATAGTGACTGTGGAACCAACTTCGAGGGAGCTGATTCCTTCCTAAAGGATCTCTTTCGTCGAAGCTCATTAGAAAACGCTCAGCTCATCAGCTCATTAGCTCAGGTGGAGACAAGATGGATCTACTCACCTCCCAGCGCTACTCACTTTGGTGGAAAGTGGAAAGCTGCTGTGAAGTCGGTGAAGACTCACCTAGTAAGGATTCTAAAAACAACCTTACTGACCTATAAAGACTTCACCACTCTACTAGCTTAAATAGAGGCGGTGTTAAATTCTCGACCGCTCTCGCCGCTCACTGATGATCCCGACGATCTGCGAGCTCTAACTCCAGCTTACTTTCTTCATGGAACATCTCAAGGAGTTCTTCCTGAAGTTGCTCTAACTCATCGCCCTGAGTCACGACTTGCTCTATGGAAGTTAATTCAACAGAAGCTCCAGCACTTTTGGAAGCGGTGGTCCAAAGAGTGCTTACAAAGATATCTCTCAATCTCTAAGTGGAGAAAAGCAGCTCACGGCATTGCAGTCGGCTCTCTAGTTCTGCTCATTGAAGATAACTTCCCTCCAGCTCAATGGCCTTTGGCTCGAGTCATCGATGTTCATCCTGGACAAGATGGACTCATTCAGGTGGTCACAATCAAGACTTCAAAGACCACCCTAACCAGACCAATCACCAAGCTCATTGTTCTGCCAGTGGACAAGTACCGCAAGGGCGTTGCGGTAGACGAGAAGTATGTTGCGAGAGGTTAATCGCAACCTGTCAGCTGGACTCGCTCTCGTCCCAGCTCGCCCTATTTCTTTTAGCGCTCCTTTTTTAGCGCTCAACTAATTACAGCTCGTCTTCTTCAACCAATAACACCAAAAACTTAAACAATATAAACATTTATTAAAATACGCACTTTTATTGTAAAATATAAATGTTATCACGACTAATTTATCAAATTCAATACTAAACTGACAAAAAAAGTATTTGGACGGTGTATCTATTTGACACTTTTCTTGTTGCTAATGTCAACAAACATTATAAATTATGAGTTACACTATGTATGTAAACAAAAATAATTCGCAATAAAGAAATCATAAAATTTTTTTTAGCAATAAATAACTATGATCAAAACTATTGTATTTGGAGTTACAGATGTTCGATATGAAATTAATTAACTTCATATTATTCTGTAATAAGCTAATAAATAACTAATCTCAAAGTTTTATATTTATTCATGATTTTTTTTTTGCAACTTAATGAAAAAAAAAAATTTTCATGATGTATATAGTCTACAGACCATACATTCTACCATCTCCTAAAATTTTCTTCTAATAAAATCAGTGGAACCTGGAAATCTGGTGACCCCTAATTATTAATGAATTTTGAACAGCGTTTTAAACAATAGATTTTGATAAGAATGGAAAAAAGACCTAAAATGTCTGTAACTTTGATGAAAGTGTATCAGAGTCGACTTTCTAAGTCGAAAATTATTGTTGTAAATTTCCACTACTAATGCTTAACTTGTAAAAAGAAATTACTATGATCTTATGTCGGGTGAAAGAGTTAATGAAGATTTAAAGGTCACTTTTTTTCAGTCTTCAGAGAACTTTGAACTTTATTAACTCTGTCGAAATGCATCGAGTTGTATTTTTCGCCACTTGAAAAAAAGCTATAGATGTCATTTACGTGACTGATCTAGTGCAAAAATTATTTTGCTATTTTAAAATAATGTGATAAGTTAATAAATAATGAATGTTAATTTCTTATATTTGTTTATTGTTTTTTTTTTTTTGCAACTTAATGAAAAAAAAAAAAATTTTTTTTAACGTATATCGTCTACGGACCATACATTCTACCTTCTTCTAGAATTTCATACAGATGGGACCACTAAGACATGGAAATCTGGAGATTCCCCATTTTCGGCCACTTTTCAACCGCGCGTTCCACTCATTTAAGCTATCTCTTTCTTCGATCATGCTATCTCTCTCTTTCCCCGCGTGTTCATCACTATGGTAATCTCCTATCTCTTTTAATTTCATATCTCTTATTCTCTTACTCATTTTACATATGGTTGACCAAAACCTGTCAAACCGCTTTAACTTTATAATCTCCGATATTTCGGTTATACTTTAACTAATCATCTTCATCTCGTTTTATTCCATGAATCGTTATTGCGCGAATCTTTTTCTGTAAGTATTTCCTTATTTTATCTATTTATTTGCCTAAAACTAGTGCACAAAGATTCATATGCTTCAATGTATCTATATGTTTCTATATGATTTAATTCGTAGAAATATATAGTTCAATATAGAAAGTCATGAGTGACTTTAATTGATTGGCATTTTGTAAAATTCGATATTCCACATCATTTGTGACAATGTACGATAAGGATTTAAAATTTTCTAGGCTATAACCTATTCAGAATAATTATTTTCTTGGTTCTGTCTTATTTAGCATACTTCCTGTCTGTTGACAGCGTATGAATTATCGATCGAGACTCGACCAAGTGACCTGATGCAACGAGTTCTTGATGGGAAGACCGGTCATGAGCGTTTATGCTATAACAATAAGATCTTGAAAGCTGTAAAAAGTGGAGCGATTTCGGCAGCGTTGCTTGAATTGCCTCAATTGCAAGATTGAGCAGTAACAGTAAGTTTAGAGTTGAGAATTTGGTTGTATATTTATGGTAGAGGATTGTATTTTTTCGCGTGAATCAATGTGTTGCTCATTTGTATATGTTCTGATGGAAAAATCTTTTGCTCGGATGTGTTTCTCTTACGAGTAAGTCAGGAGGCCTAGTCACGGTAGCTAGTGATTTTTCGTAATCACAGGCCAAGAAAGGAATCATAGCAAAAAAGAGGGGAATTCCCAGATTATAATTTACGTATAATAATTTCTCAACATAATACCAAAAATTTTAATCGTGGTTTTTCTTCCTATGCTCCATATTATGCATTGTTAATTGGAGATTTTTTTTTTGTATTTTTTTCAAATATTTCGTTATTATGATGAGAAACTATCATGGTATTAATTGCGAAATACTCTATAATATTCAAAAATTCACATGGTAACTGTGGGATCGTTAACGTGCCCTTGTACGTTTTTCAAGATCATATACCTCAAAGAATAGATCATAACAAGTAGAAAGTGGGAACAGAAATCTTTGTTATACTATAAAAAATAAGTCCCATGACGTATTATCAATTTCTGCATATTTAAGTTATTCATTAAAATCTGCAGGTTAAACGCAGTAAAAGTGGTTTTTTCGAAAAAAAAGACAATAACGCGAGCACTTCTTTACCTGCGAACAGTTTTTTTTTTGTTATTCTTAGATTATTTTACATAAAAAATCTTAGCGCAAAATAGGAGGTTCGATTTTTCATTACCCTCATTTTTATTCTCATCCCTATTAAATTATGGAATTTAATTGTTGATCAATATACATGTATATATATTCAAGTATCAGCCATCTTAAGTTATAGTTTTTATCGAAGAATAATAATAGATTTACTAAATTTTCCATTCAAGTACTACGTGGTCAAAGTTACGTGTAAAAACTGGTTATAAATATAATTTTAGTAGCTATATCAAAAATATTGTAACAATTTAGTTTAATCACGCGAAGAAAAAAACACGGTAAATATATACTTCATGACCCCAAGCCCTATGTGCTAATTTAGCGATTTATAAAATTTACTTAAATTAAAGGCCGTAAGAGGGACGGCGGAGTTCTTGTCGGACCACGATGAGTATGGGTACGTCTAGGAGAATAGTAATTAAAAGTATTGCGATAGCTTAAGTAATAAAGCACCTAACATGCAAACTTGGGGGATCCAAGTTTGAGTCCTAGTCGCAAGAAAAAAATTACTTTTTCCCGGAAAGCGTGTCTGTATGAAACTGTGTAGACGGGGTAGGGCAAGTGGGGTCGGAGAGTATATCATTACCAAAAACACTTACCAGATGTATCGAATCGATTTCATTTTAAGTGCCGTTGAGTTTTCTTTGCACTTGTAGGCAAGTACTTGTTTAACACTACTGACATCTACTGATGGAAATCTTGATGTGACATAAGCTGAAAAAAACCATAAAAAATAAAATAGAAATTTGCAAATATACTTCTCACAAAATAATGAGCTTCACAGTAAAATATGTATACCAATCGACCAAATAATCAATATTTCTAATCCAGTCACTCATTTGACTAATTTTCAGTGTCTCTTTTGACTAATGAAGTTTCTGTCGCCGTTCTTTTTCTGTTCTTATTCACGTGTACACGCCATTCTAATTCTTTTCGGACAATCTTGAACTTTTGAGTCAATAATTAGTGCTAGTGCTATTCTGAATCACTAGAAATATTCAGTTTTCATTCTACAATCAAAATCAACTAACATTTCAAGACATTTCATGGTAAATTCATGAAATTACATTAAATTCATTTTGCATTGTATTGATAGGCTAACACTACGTGCACAATCATATTCTTGTTCAACTTGAGAAGCGTGCTGAGCTCGTGTGGGAGGTCAATAATACCGAACACACCAAGTTGAATATTTTTTAGACATTCAATTCAAATTCAGTTATTACAATTGACATTCAGTGATTTCTAAAAACATTCATTTCTTGTATTCAGTAACAAAAGTTGTTCAGTGTATATTGTGTACCTGTTAGCGCTGAAAATAAAGATTATATATTTTTTATGAAACCTGCCTTCCGTTTGCTCTGTTCCGGCACAATCATCCCTATCCTTAAACGGTTAGGTTAATTCAAAAGTTGAGATTTTCTCAACAATATACATATAGTACAATTAATACATATATATATATATACATATATACATATATGATACATGTGTATATATATATAAATCTAATCAGAGTGTCATTTGGGGACATTTCTCAAATGCAAGGTATTATTTGAGGACATTTGTATAGTTTGGGGATAGTCCTAAAAAAAAATCATGTATTCAACATATTATTTGAGCCACTAGTCTATATACAAGGTATTATTTAAGGACACGACGTTACCACGTTGTAATGGATTTATTTTTTTTTATTATAAAAAAAAAAGGTGAAAATGAGGGCAAAGGTACACTGTAATTGCATACGCTGTACTTGCAGGGTTATTGTATCATATTGTATTTGAGTTATTATTCTGAGTAAACAGAGTTGACGCATATCGTGAACTACACGCATACATCCAAAGCGCTTGTTCGTTATGCTCACACACTTCGCTATCTCTTAATACCTTTCCTAAAAGTTGGGTGCTCATTTACAATATCAACTACTCATTCCAAGATTAGGGCTTCTTTGGATCGATTTTTAAATCTTTTGGCGTCACTTCCATCTTGCACTCACTTATTCCAGAACGCTCTAATACTTTTTCAGTCTAACTTCTCTGATGAATAAAGACTCTACTGTCTTTATCTCGCATGAATTTTGAACCAAAATATTATTTTATTATTTGAATTTTATTAAGTCTTTAGTTTCAAATGTTTTTGACGTCTTTCTCTTCACTTCACATATCCAGTCCATTTGACGTGATTATGATATTGTCAACATAATATCAAATTGTGAGTATTAATATGCACTCATTTTTCAATGCTAAAAATATACACGAATCCTGTGGCAACGTATTAATATTAAGCCCACTCAACTTTTGCACCAATTTTTTATGCCACTGTAAACCTGATTATCACCTCCCTATATTGGGCTACACTTGCATTTGACATGACTTTTTCGGTCTTCATCAGTTTCTTAACCCATCAATGCCCAGATTGCACTAATCGGCAAAGACAACTTTAATGGTTATTATGTTTAAGAAAAAGGCTGAAATTCACATGAAAAATACATATACGATTATTTTTGAGTATGCGCTTTCAGAATATACCATTAAAATAGTGAAAGACTTTGATTTTAATTCAGATTTCTCGAACTTAAAGAAAAAAAAATTTTTGAAGTGATTTATTCATAAAATTGATATTTTTCCTATGATCAAGCTTCTGACTTGCAAGAAACGCATTAAAACCGTGCAATTTTTATCTAAACTTAAAAATTATGGAGTAAAAAGAATTATCCTCATATGAAAGAGAGACAAGCTACCATATTTAATTTGAAAAACGCCATATTGGCCACCATATTGATAAGTACATGGTGTGAATAATTTAATTGGCTTTGCATCACGTGATGAGTTAAAAGCCTGATATTCATGAAATAAATCCTTAGAATGACTACAGTATCATTTCGTTTCCAAAAGTATAGATTTGATACATGCACCGTAGACCAGCCTAAATTGAATTTATCAAATTCGGGCTGAATTAAAAAAACTATAAAATTCGTAATTATATTAAAAATAGAATTTTTTAAATTGTACGATATTTTCTTTTATTACTAGAAAGGTACAAAGATTTGTTACAAATGAAAATGATTCTATCGTTTTCACTCTCTTTCACATTGCATTCTCTACATTGCCTTCTTTCTTCCGTTTAGAATATGTCTTCTATAGATATTTCATAGACGTATAAAATTGATTGAAAAATTAAACTTTCAATTATATCGTAAGCTATAAAAATAGATAGAAATAAACAAGTACATAAAAATAAATTAGATGAATTTAGAATTATAAAAATATTAGAGTTTGAAGGGGGAGGACTCGAATTGTCAAAAGCGCAGTATAAATTTTTTGTCTTATTTTGATTCCGGTTAAATGCATATTTAATTGTACAAAAGGTTAGTTTATAAATAACTCAAAAAGTTGTCACAATGACTTCGTTGATGGACACATAGATCACCGTATAAATCAAATCAAAGGATGTTTAAAACAAGCACTAAAGACACACAAACTGATGAGCAACAAAAAAAGATGTTGATTATATTGAAGCTCAACATGAACTGGTGGGTGATTTCAAAGGATCTGGTTATTGTCCTTTTTTATCGTTTAGAGTTTTTCTCAGGGAGAAAGAAAAAATCGGCCGTGTGAGGTCGACCGAAGATAAGTGTAGGAGGTAAAAAATTTCTCACCAGGAAGAGGGTTATGTTAAAAAAAAAAGGTTAGGAAAATCCCATTGCCACATGTGGGCTTAAAGGATTCGGGAAATTCTCAATTTCATGATTCGGACATCTGGAGTGGTTTAGAAACTGGGAAATATGGCTCGCTTATAGCAGGGTTTGATTTTGACAACAAAAATTACTCCTTTCTATACGAGACGTTTTTTTTTTATTTAACAAGTACTGTTAGATTTAACTGGTAAAATATAATATATCAGGATTGACAGAAAATTTGAAAATTTTAAAAATTTACGCAGAAAATTGAAGGAATAGAAACGTTATTAAAGTTTAAATCTAAAAGAGACATATGCACCAGTTTCTCGGCTACCAGTAATTAGAGCTGTACTAGCAATTATAAATAATTATGATTTATATGCATGTCAATTAGATGTCAAGATGGCATTTTTAAATGGTGTTCTAGATGAAGAAGTTTACATGGAAATTCCAGATAGTATAGAGGTGGAGGAAAAACGGTAAAATGGCTATATTAGCTCTATATGTAGATAATATCTTAGCAGCCAGCAATGACAAGATGAAACTAGAGGAAATTAGAGATCATTCAAGTAGAGCGTTTGAGATAAAAAATCTCGGAGAACCTGAGTGTTTTCTAGGTATGAATATTCAGAGAAATAGAAAAGAAGGATACATGGTAATTAATCAGTCAACGCGTATCAAAAGTATTTTAGAGAGATTCAACATGGAAGAGTGTAAGCCGCAAAATGCTCCTATAGTGACTAGACAAGTAATGAACAAAAATAAAAAGAGAAAATAAGAAGAAATAGAATTGGATAAAAAAAGGGCACTAGTATTGTTACAAAACAAAATAATAAAATAAATATTATTTTAATTAATGAATTAAAAAAAAAAAGAAAAAGTTACTGCTGAGATTTGAACCAGTCACCAAAGGATATATGAACAGAGATTTAATTCCTAAGCTACCGACCCATTTTTTTTAAATGAAGATAAAATCATATTTAAAGTCTTGAGTGATATTACTTGTGCCAAATAAAAATAAACAATTAAAAAAAATTTTTTAAAAGTGACAAACTTAGTAGGATTCAAACCCAAAACCATAGGACCCGTAGGTTAGCGCGCTGCCCTTGAGCTATGTCGTCATCATAAGGAAATTTGTATAAGTCCGATTTAAAGTGCGAGTGGGGCTTCGCTTGCCCACGGAAGGAAGGAGACTTCTGGGCGGAATGGTGGGGATTTCCGGTACGGAAGGGATAAGAAAAGGAGAGAAATATAATTTTCTCTCACTTGCACGCGCAGGAGCAATAAAGAGCTTCTTGAATATACCTGAGGAGCACTTGGGAGTCAAAAGAGCCGAGTTTGCCCGGCTCTGCCCTACGGAACTCAGAGGAAAGATTATTTTGTTATTTGTCTCATTTTTATCTACTGTGATAGATAGGACTTCGAAACTCCCTACGGTTTGTGAGATTAAGGCTGCTAGGACAATAGAGGTTTTATTGCCCAAGAAAATTTTTTAAAAATCTCTCTTCAGGTACCGTGTTCCAGGCCTTTCGAGCAGTCCCAAAATTCTTTAAAAAAGTATATTCTTTAAAAAAATTTTGTTATATTATTAAATATTATTTTTTTTTAAATATATTATTAATATTATGAATATCATTATCGAAGCCTTTGACTCATTATTATCATACATAATTAAATTCTCTTTTTTTTTCCTTATAAACATCGTTATTTGTTATAAAAAAATTGCTTCGGTCGTACATTATTTTTTACTCTCCTTCAATGTGATTGCGTATGAAATTTGTCCTAAAAAAATTCATTATTACAATTAATTAAATAAAAAAAAAAATAACATTGATAGGCTTGACCACAAAACCTACGTTTCTGTAGTCGAGTGTGATATCTCTGAGCTGTTACAAGAATATCAAATTGATTTTATAGCTTCTATGTATGTTGCGAACAGAGCTGGACCTTTTCTATTTAAAAATTTGTGCTTGAAAATAAACTGGCTTGAGATTCTTGTAATGAGAGTAAAAAAGAACACAAATCTTATCTCTTTTCTCTCTTAGATTAAGGGGCGCGGCTAAAATAAACCGTTGCAGGGTTCACAGAAACTTTCATGTTGTGACCTGAGATTACCGACATGTCGGCCGAAACTTCGTCCGGATTTCTAACACAGCATTGGACTTCTATATTGGTCTCTCTTCTCTGCCTATATGGTAGTCTGAATGTGGGCACGTCGAACACGCCGAGCGCGAGACGCGTTAGCGACCGCCGACCGAAGCGGATAAAGTTGGTACTACGGGAGGCCAAATTCTAAATCCTGTGCCTGGGGCTGCAAAGTCAAAATATAACATGTAGGCCTAGGTACAACTGGCCAATTGAGGTCGGACTCGTAGTGGTATGTTGTAAAGCCTCGGGCTTGTTACGTGTATCCCTGTGCCTATTCTAGGTGCAGGTATACGCGTCCCGGGAAATGCCATCGCGAAGAGAGTAGAGTTATAATTTCCCAGAGTTATTTCCGTCCTTCGGACGGGGGAAGTATGGCATTCTAGCTCGGAATTTTGTGCACATTTCTTGCCTTATGTGCTATCTACTTGACCTGCCCGCATATAAACTTCGTGGTTTTGGTTAATCACTATCGCGTCATTTTTACGGAATCTAACCTTGTACCTGAGATCTATCATTTTGGCTATTGACAGCAAGTTTGTATGTAGGTCTAACACGTGAAGTACTTTATCTGTGTGTATGTTGTGTTTTTTACGCCCCGTGTCGACTGTGATCTGACTTTTTTCTGTCCTCGTGATACGCGTCCTCTTATTCTTAGCTTAGTTTAACTCACTTTCAGCGTTGGTAACGTTTTTGAACTTTATCCTTTCATTATACATGTACGCTGTGCAACCGCTCTCGATGTGGTACTTTCTCAGCGGTAGTTAACATCAGCAAAGAGTCACCTCGGTGTTTACGTTCATTGTCACTAGCCCCGTTTTTACTTTGCCATGTACTTTGTTTTGCACCCAACTTGTTTTTTAAAGTCCCATAAAAAATGTCTTTTTTGACTACATCTATAAGAACTAAGCGTCACTTTAGTTTGACTGTCTTTATTTTCACATTTCGAAGATCACGCATAAGGTTTTAAGGCAGTAAACTAATCAACTCGAGTCGATATTTTGAAATCACCACAATTCACTAAGAATCTGTCTGATTATTAGTATCAAAATCAGTTCCAAGTTGCGTAATTACCTGTCAAATGCAATTGGTTTTGTTCTGACTTGGAGGGGCCCAAGTCAGTTAGTCAGAAATATTCAAAAATTTTAATGCCGGACTTGTCCACCGGCGCGTCAGTCAACTCACTGGACCAATCACCGGGAAGTATTTCCCTCATGGCCCAGAAGGCAACTCTACGGCCCTAGTGACGCCAACAAGCACGCGGTCGAGCACTTGTGGCGTCAGTTAGCTCCAGGCAAATCACGCGGTCATCTCTGTATAATTTTTCGCAGTCAAATCGCAGTTTTTTGCAGTCAGCTCACTCGGTGTACAATAAAGTACGGTCAAATAGATTCAGACAACTCTCACGAAGATACGTGAATCATCAAAGTACTCTCATCAGTGCCAGTGGTCCAGTATATTCAGTGTGTAGTGTCTTTGGGCGCGAAGCTGAACTGGCGTCGACGCCATAGTGCCTCACGGACATTCACCTATACATCGCTCCCCCGAACAACTCTGGTGTATACTGTGAATGTTGCTATTCACTGTTTTTTTGAGACTATGTTATTTGGTGAAAAAATAACCATTGGACAACTCATAAGTGTACAAACAATTATGGTACAGTCAACTCAATCATATGTAGTGATTATTAAGTTCTATTGAGTATGTTAAGTGTTATTGTTGAATAAAATCTATAAACCCAAGCAATTCAGTGTTAATTAACTATATTTTAGAACCTTCTAGCATCCGACCTTTTGTTCTTATTCTGCTCTTAATTCATACAGTCCACTAGTTTTCAGGTTGCTCATTCGGCCGACTCGAAGTCAGAACAGGTTTCACATTGATAAAATTTTTTGTTCTCAAGATAATTGAGACAAACAATTCCGAACGCCCATAGGAACATACACACATGCAGACGTCCACTTAAAAACTACTGTATTTAGTTTTAGGGACCTTAAAACATAGAGATATATCAAAATTTGGAATTTGCAAAATTGGACCTATTACTTTAACTTTCCTCTCAGAAGTCGAAAATACTTTAAGATAAATAAATTCTAATTAAGATAAAATCAGAAAATGTATAATCAATAAATCTTGTTTATATTTATTCAATAGACTTCTAAATTTAATCCTTCGAATATTTTTCGCGTTTTGAGTCGATGCTTCAGGACCCCAGGACACAACAATAAAGATGTTGTTCTTATGCTTGCATACTATTAGTCAAAGAATATCAACTTCTGAACCAGTTTATAAACAGTCTAGAACTCTGAAGCATTCAATGGAATTATCGAGCGTTTTGTAATTTTCTCAAATTTTTGGAAAATTTGTCGAAGCATCAAAATCATTTTTGAACATATCATACTATTGAAAAAATATTTTGAAAAATCCAAATATTCTAACAAATTTTGACAGAACGTTAAAAATTCGAAAAAATTCTCGAATGTTTTCAAACTTTGTTGGACTCTTCTCATAGATCAAGAATTACATTTACAGATGTACTTCAACAACTTACATATTATCGCTTGTACTTTTGCTCGATCAAGTGCCGGTTTGACAGGTCTTTCTGTAGCTGTTCCTGCACGGCTCCACCGTTGACCGGTCACTGAACATGTAGCAAGTTCAGTGGGACTAAAAAGAATAGCCGCAAGTCCTCGAGTAAGCTTTCTGTAGTCACTCCACTTAACAGCTCGGAGTTGTTCTTCACAAATTGCAATTCCTTCGCCTAAATGCACCTGTAATAAAATTTTTTATGAATATTTTGTTCATTCAATTCTTTGTAATAATTAGTTGACGACAAATCGAATGTTTGAATAGAATTGAATGTAATGTATACGTTTCTTAATTTAAAGTTAGAAAATTTGTGTAACTAATTTTTGGTAATATAATCGAGGGAACAAGCATTATGAAATTTAAACAAAAATGACTGTTAATCAATGTTTATCAGATAATTGCTGCATGTAACACTAAAGACTTTTTAATATGTTCACTGATTTGTTTATAAATATTGATTTAACATGATCTCATACACCAATATCCGTACCACACTGAAAAAAAGTTTAATCATTGCAGAAAAAGACGGTTTTATTTTGACGCGTATTTCTTTAATTTGTGTAGCTGTGGGACTTACAAAGCGTTGAACAATAATGTAGTAATGCTGCAGAAACTATAATTCAATATTTGACCGCATAAATTACTACGTGTGAGAACTGTATGTGTGCACTACCCATACATACACATATTTTTATCTAAGAATTTAGGGTTCAAAATGATTTTTATTGAATATTATCATTATGATAATATACATCTAGGAAATCATGCCTCTTTTAATGATGAAAAATTACATTCCTTTCAATCTACAATGCTTTAAATTGATTAAATATTTAAATTAAGTTTCTGAAGTGGTATCAATAAGGTTATAGCATTTTTCGTCTCCGCTATCATTGTTAGAATGCCTTTTACAAGAAAACTTTTCTTCCTTGTGGTTATTAAACGCTTGTTGACAATAAAGAAACTTCAGTTTAAGTCATACGATAAAACGAATATCGTTCCAGGAACGAAATTTTTTTCTGTAATAATTAAACTTTTTTTTCAGTGTACACACAATCGGGCATGGAATCATGGTAGAAAGAATCAATCGAGCTTAATCCATGCTCTCAAACATAAACACTTATTTTTTTACAAGAAATTATGCTTAATTATATCTGATTATGTATAATCGAGTATAGTTTTACATGATCGTTTTTTTCAAGGCAATTAATATTAAAACTGAACCAAGGTACGTTTGGAACAAATGTAAAATTTTAAGAAATACAGAGCTTTAGATGATGAACATATTGAATCTGCTTCGTGAATAGACGGTATTAGTTATTACATTCTGTAATCTCTGTTATCTAAATTCGAACTTTTACTCTTTGATCAGATTTTAGAAAAAGGTGGTTCTAACTAGATAATCTTACCAAATTTATTTTAAGTATAAATGAAACTAACATAGTTTTAATTAACTCTAAATTTGATCAACATCATCGAACTCATGACTTATGAAAGAGATATCTTTACAGACTTTCAACAAGATCAACACCAAACAGTGTGTAAAGAGGTTCTGCAAAAGGGAGTTTTCAGTCCATAACTTTACACGATCTACGTGTCTGGCGTAACTAGCGGCCTATCTCCTCAATCTTCCTCTTTACAATTTGCTAATGACATATCAATTTTTACCGAATTTTCAACGTGAATATCAATAAAAGAACCATCTCTGATTCTGACGCTTAATATCAACCTCGGTAACTTCGATCTTGAGCTCACCGCATCAAAAACTAAATTTACTACTTTCAACAAAAAAATATTAGGCTATAGCCTTAATTAGTTTGGCTCTTTTTTTGACTCTTATGAAAACAGAATTTTGAGTTGTTGTGTTAAAAATCATGTTAAAATAATGTGAACTAAGCTTTATAGATTTTTTTTTGCTGAAGATCAGTCTTTTTTCTCAAATATTAAAAACGACTAAAAACGAACAACTAAATTCTTACTTTTCTACAGACTTTAAAAAAATTAATGAAATTACATGAGTTTTTAGGCATTTGATGCGCCATTACTAGATTATAAAATTCTCATTTAAATTAAAAATATGTACAATAAAATATTTGCATTCTTTTCTATTACAAAAATCATTCAAATTTTCAAAATCCGATTGTAATTGAGGAGTATTTTAATGGACAGTATTTACATAATACGGCAATAATATAAAAAGATTAGTACAATAATTACTTTCTGGTTACATAAAGAGCAGTAGACATATCAATCAGTTGTAATCAATTCGAAAAAAAATATTTGAAAAAACGAACACTGCGATATCATTCCATAAAGTTGAATGGTAAGCATAAACTTTTTGAAGTATTTGATTTTTTATTACCAGAAGAAGTTCCATAGATAGGTACAATTGGATATAACATTGTACCAATGAGATTATTGAACAATGAATAAAAATGATAAAGGGAATAGAGATGCAAAATTCATGAGTCCATAAATCTAATAATAATAAATAACTGCAATCATGAACAAAGAATTATTGAATGTTTGATTTGTATATACGCTATTAAGATATTTATATAAAATTAAAAAAAATTTTCAACTTGAGATACTTACAACACCATCTGAAGATGACTCTTCAAATCCTCTAAATGCTGGCAACGAAGATGGAGTTGTACTCATATCTAATGGACCATGTATCCAATCGTTTCTAGATGGAGAACTTCCATGTGTAGACAATAGATGTCTACCTCCACGAGTGCCCAGACGTGGTCTACCACGTCTCACTCTTTTTCCTGTTAAGAGAGCAATAGATCAAATAGACAGTATCAAGATCATCATACCATAAACAGCCCTAACAGACTTGACAAAAATTCACACCAAGGATAAATGACAAAAACGATATTCATTTTTTATAAAGTCCGATTTCATTACTCATAATTAATTATCAGCTCCTCGATACATTTATTTTTTCAAATATTCTTGGTTGAAAAGTGGTTACACAGACATGCAACCAGATGAATTCGAAAACCCCGTAAATTTTGCATTCGGAGATTGCTGTAATGTACACTGTGATATCCTAAAATGCGAAAATATCGCGATTATCCGTTGTTCTTGATGTAAAAAATCATTCTATACAGGACATTTTTTAAATTAATATCATAAATCTGAGTCCATACAATAATAGTCTAGTCAATGTGCATTTTTAATATGAGATTTTATGGCACAAGTCAAGGCTGGGCTTATTTTATAGCAATAATGCGCTGAATTTAACGCATTAATTCCCAGCAAAAAAAACCAGCCGGGTTATACTTTTTTTAATTTAAAAATTAATTATTCCGCTGAATTATCGATGAGAAAACTGCCATGCCGATGATACCGATAAATTTACGTGATAATCAACAAAAACGACGGTCACGGTAAACGATTTTTTTAACTCTTCGAGATCAAATATCTCGGAAATAAAATTGAATTGGAAAAAAGAAAGGTAACTAAAGTATTCCTTAAAGTATAAGAAAGAATTTTTTCCAGTAATATATTGACGATTTCGGCTTCATTCACAAGATATTTATTAAAATATGTGGATTTAGCGGAATAATTGATTTCTGAATTAAAAAATAAAAATATGACGCGGCTGATTTTTTCGGCTGGGAATTAGTCCATTAAATTCAGCGCATTTTTTTCTACAAAATGAGTTCAGTCTTGACTTGTGCCACGAAATTTTTATTAACCCTGTTTTCTGCTACACATTGACGACTATAATTAGATTAATCATTGCGTTCGTAAATATGATAAATGTATCATAGAATAAATGGTATTTATTGAATTGTTGTATCATTAATTGTCCTGGCATAAATTATTCTTTAACAATGCCATTTTCCATATGAGAAATGGACTCTCTTGTTTTCAGACAGTCTGCACATTGACTATATATGTATTTATTTAAGAATGCGAAGACCCGAATCTGCTTTTTTTCTGCACTTTCAATTGCAGTTGTACTTTTTAAGAAAAAAGCGATTGATTTTTAAATTAAATTTTGATTACTTTCAAGCATTGTAAATACTGATCAGTATTAGGCAAAAAAAATTATAATTTCTCATTTTTCAATTATTCCCTAATTATCAATTACAAGATTTAGAGTATAAAATAGTAATATATCGGAAATTAAAGATTGAATATTAGAAAATAATTTAAAATCTAAAAATAACATTATTGAAATTAATAATTGACTATTGACTAATAATTAATTTATGTTCTGGAATTTCAGATTACTTAATTAATGACTAATTTAGTTGCATGATAATTATACAATTACTAAAAGTGCGGCGATTCCCTCACTACGCGACTAAACAAGGCAGGAAAATTTTATGAGCACTGTTGCCAAATGTTGAATCCGGTAGGAGGCGCTCTAATTATGTATGATAGTTTGAATAAACTTATTTAAAATAAGCGCCAAAATGTTGCTTATAATGTGGCACCGTCGCATTAATTTTAACATTGCGGCGATTCCCGCATATAAGTACGTAAAACCCTCAAACCGCCTCGAAAAGTAATTTCGTTTAGGGGGCTTTTTCACACCTAAAAAGGCGTGTTAGCAAAAAAAAATATGTCTCTGAAAATTTGATGTAAAATAACATATCAGCCACAAAAAAATCGGAGGTGGCACGTCGAGATACCTTCTTTATAAGTTACTTTGCTTTATATGTCTTTAGGATAGTAGAGCTAAGCAAGAGCATTGAGTAAAAAGAAACTGGCCCTTGGAAGAAAATATGGAGCCTGAAAAGCAAAATATAGTCCAGGATCCATGAGTAGCTCGTGACAAAATTATCCTCCCATCGTAAGAGATGGAACTGAGCATCATGAAACCATTCGTTAAAACACTAGATAAAGGCAGAGACGGTTTTTCTTAAATTTCATCAGCTCACTATAGAAAAGATGAAAGTCGGTATTCAGGAATGTACTAAGAAGTATCGTCGATTTTTGCATAACTGAAAAGTTATTAATGAAAAAGTGTAGTTTCTAGTGGGAAAAAGTTGTTTATAACAATAAACTCAATCATGCGAACATTTTTTTGTCAATGAATAGTTTTTTTGGAATTCCCGTGTAATTTGACATAAAATAAACCTTGGTTCAAAATGAAAGGTTAGATTTTCTATTACCCCTATTTTTATTTGCACCCTTACTGGACAATATTGAAACAGCAACAACCTATCGTTTCATACTGCAACAATATTAGCAACTTTTTTTCTCTTCGAAATACTTGCTAGAAAGCAAACTTGACTAATGTTTAAAATTACTGTCTCAAATTTTTAACTCCAATAGATTAAGCAAAAGTCATGCCTTAATGATTTAGAATGGCACAGTAGGTAGTGTCCTGAACTACGGACCCGAGGATGACAGGATCGAATCTCACCATCAGCAGGATATTTTCGGACAAAATTAGTAATAAATTTCATTTCAGGTGCATATTTAAACAACAAATTAATATAAATAAAATACCTCTAGAGTAAATTAAAATATCAGCTTGCCTAAACTAATTTTTTTTGTCCTTACAAGATCCTATAGAACTGCTCAATAGGTTTTCCTTTAATTTGATAAGAAAGTTCGACAGTCTTAAAATTGTATTAAATAACGTCAAATCCTACTGCAAAGTTCAAAAGGATTTCTGCATATCAAATAGGAATTCGTTATATCTAAAAATCCTTTAAATTAAATTCAGTTCTATTGAATCTATAAGAAACTCTGAGACAACAATATTCATATTAAATAATATTCAATCCTAATGGAAATTGAATAGAATTTAGCATACCTCAATGGGACAACTAAATAGGATTCAGAAAATTTCCGATGCAATTTTCCTATTAAACTTGCATATCCTAATAAAATTGTTTGAGCAGGGCAAGTGCAGATGTACATAGCAGCTTCTATAATAGGAGCAAATTTTCCAGTGTATTACGAATTAAATGTGGATCTCAAATTACGGGTTATGTTTAGTTAACCTGTAGTTCCTGATATCTCCATAATTTCAGGCAAGAAAATTGTAAGAGGGACGGCGGAGGCAGTACACTCATAATTGATTATCCTGTAATACCATTGAGAAATGGATTGTGCAGGATCTATACACAAGATCTAGCATGGAAAGTAAGTAATTAGTACCTAACTTATATAATGTCTAGCACTGACTTCAAAAATGGGTTGCACATTTTCAAAGATTAAATATAATAATAATTATTATTATTGTTATTCTTATTCCGCCTTTCGGTTCGTCAAAGGTGTCTAGCCAGGGATCCCAGGGCTCCGACCCACCTGAGGCCTGACCAGACGGGATTATCCTGCAGAAACCCGACTCCCTCAGGTTTGAGGGTGAGCCTTTACAATAACTTTTATGAGATCAAAAAAGAAAATAATTTCTCCTGATACTACAGACTCAGACTTGACTTAGACTATGATAATAATTGATTGAAAACGGAGCAGCATGCGCGAGAGCAGTGCGCATCTCCTTAAGTTTCATTTACATTGAGAAAAATTATTACTACCATAATGAATTCCTCGGTCTCAGAGAACAAGCCATCTGACTTGAGATATTGGAAAGTCAGCTGGTGTGACAAGTCATGTGTTTCAACATGACGATAAAACACACCCTGTAAGGACTTTGCCACATGTTCGTCGAGCAGTTTTAACTGCTCGGTTGTTTTTATATCAGTCTTTCGCTGCCCTCTGGTCAATTGTAAAAGCCTTAAATCGCCTGAGCTGCTAGGGTCGAAAACTGAGCCGAGGTTCTGTGCCGCCTGATATGCTGCTCTATATAGGAACGCATCCCTTCCCAATAGTTCAAAGCTGTTCACGAACTTGAGAAGAGGATCAGAGCTCTCATAGATGTCATAAGCCAGACCTATCACTAACCTGTCATGTAGAGACTCCAAACTTAGTAGTCCACGTCCTCCCAGATCACGGGAAAAGTATAGGCGTTGGACAGAAGATCGCGAGTGATGACTTCGGTGTCATGTCATCACTTTCCTCGTGATAATGTCCAGATCTTTAAGCTTTTTTCGGAACCATTGAAGAACTCCGAATGAGTATAACAAGACTGGGATAGCGAGTATATTCGTGGCTGCGACTTTGTTAGGGCCTGATAATTCAGAGCCCCATATTCTTTTAAGTCACCACTTATACTCGCTGCGGAGAGTATTTTTAATGATAGACACGTCCTGTAAAAGAGATTGTGCCTGTCCAAGATATCGGTATGACTCTCCAGCATCCAGATGTTTTATGATGCTCCCGCCTGTAAGCTCGACATTATCACTCCAGTTCGGCGATCTTCCTTTTACTAAGTGGGCAACTGCGCACTTGTCTAACCCAAACTCCATGCCGATTACACTGGTATACTCTGACACAACCTCTAGGGCTGCTCGGAGTCTCTCAGGACTTGCCGCGTACACTTTCAAGTCATCCATATAAAATAGATGTGTGACTTTGTGTACGCAGTTGGAGACTCGTCCGGCTTTATATCCAGGCGTCCGGCGTAGAGTGACAGATAATGGCAGCAGTGAGATGCAAAATAGAAGAGGACTCAGGGTATCTCCTTGGTATGCGACTCTCTTAAATGGCACTGTTCTGGTGGACACTCTCGTTTCACCAGATGTTACGATGAAACATGTCCTCCAGAGCGGCATCAGATGTTCGATGCATTTCACTATTTGCGGGGGTACTGAAAGGCATTCGAGCAAGTAGAGGAGGAGCTTGTGAGATGTTGTATCAAATGCCTTTCTGTAATCCATCCAGGCCATTGATAAGT